TGTGCCAGGGCTGTCAAACTGTAAAATATTGCTCGAAGACTTGCCAGAGAATGGACTGGCCTCTCCATAAATCCATGTGTGACAAACACTGGCTTCGTCTTAAAGGTACGCAGCCGGCTCCACTTCTAGGATGTAAACTAAAAAAAAAAAAAAAACGCAGGCCCTGACCGCCTCCTGAGCGGCAGAGCGCCTTATCATGATATTCAATTTTTCAAGGATATTATACACCACGACCTTGCGCAGTTGAAAGGCAACGTCACGGCGCAACGTGCATTCCTCCTTGCACTAAAACCCGAACTCATAACATGCCCATTTTATGTTCAAATGGACTACGCGTACTTCCCAGCCCAAGTTGTAGTGGCTGTGATGACTCCGGGGCAAGCAGTAACTGCTGCGGGAACGCTTCGGTCGTCACTAGAGGAAAATCGAGGAGAACGGACTTACGTGGAAGTCACTGCGCCTCAGGGAGCCAGACATAGCGCTGTAACTTTGATGTCATTGAACTCATTCGTGGAGGACTTTGGCGATTGGGACCGTGTTTGATTTGGGACTCAAACTTTTATGCTTCCCACCATTTTTTACCTATTACCTTGTCACTCTCTGTCATACTGAATGGGTCATCGTCGCGCACTCCGGGACATCTAGTAGCAGGACATAGCCACCTGTTTCGAATGGAGCAGTGAATTAGGTATGTATCCTTCATTCGGAAACCGGCGTTCCTCAGGGGACCGTGCCGTGTAATAATACAATCCAGAACTTAACTTATAAGTTATCACTCTTCTCTTATCCCGTTATGGCCTTATAAGGCCTTGAGTAAAAGGCATTTTAAGGGGAAAAATAAGTTTTGCCAACTCCTGGGGTAGAGTCGAACTACCAATCACAGTTAAGCCTAAGTGTACGTCACGTCATAGACAATATACACTGTGGGCTACCACCATCCCTCCAGGACGTCGCCCATACTGTAGTATTCAGACCGGATGTTCAGCCATTGTCACCCGTCACTGACCAAGTTCATTTGATAAGATGTTCAGGTTCGGGTTGGACGCGTCACCCGACTGAACCACATGTTCATTTGGCCTGTGGACGCACCGCGGCGGCAGCTAGGCAATTAATTTTTAATGATGCGGCATGCTTCTTGAAAGTTCCTGTGCACAATGGTGAGCTGTGCGAGGGTCATTAAATCATAGGATTTTTTGTAGACCATGGCAAGAGAAAAAACTATTTTTGGTGGTTTTCAAGCTTCAATTTCTCTCTTGTTCACGAGAGCAAATGTCACCATCATCAGTGCCACATAGGTTCAGTTCACAGGGTCTCGTCACCCGTCACCTGAACATTCGGTCTGAATACTACAGTATATGTTTATGGTGGGGCTAAAGCTAACCATCTCAATTTAGGCTGATGGATGTTGCGCTGCCAACTGGTACGCAACAGCATGTTGTCAATCCACCTGAGCCATTTAACCGGAGGTGGATTGACAACACAGCATACCCCCGGCATACCTTCCGGCGCAAGAGCGGCATTAAACCAACGGTAGGAGTGTGTGCGCGATACGCGAGCCATTGCCATACATATATAATTGTATAAATAATGGACATTTTGCGTGGCTCGTCCTTGCGCACTTTTTAAGTAAGTGTGATAGATACATACATTTAATTCCTTCGTATGCTGAACCAGTGACCATGGGATTGGTAGGGACAGCAGGGGGCTCAAGTTCCAAAGAATAAAAAAGTTTTTCTTCTGAAGGACTTTCGACTCGTTAGGTCCCACTGCGGGCAAGTGCCGTGGCCGTGCATTCATGGCGTTTGACAGATGTGTGACCGACATTTGCCATGGTGTTTGCCACGGCGTTGGCACGGCATTGCACAAATGCCTTTGTTCTTATATTAGTAGAGTACTTATGTAAGTCTCGTGCACACCTGACCTGATAATGCTTCAAGTTATTAAGGTCATATTCTGAAATTATGATTTTGAACAATTGATCCAGATTGGCAGGTGTATATGGGGTTTTGATATCAGATGTCGGTGAATTGTGTAAAATCACTGATATATCATTAATATATCATTGCCTACGCGGGCCTGAACGCACCGGAGGCAAGAAATTCAGCAGCTGATTTTGATGCATGGCGGAGTGCAATGGGTGTGATGCTCTTTGTGTCGGCGCTATGGATTTCAGTCTTTCTGCCACTAACGACTGTTTCTCCAGCTCTCGAACTTTCAAACATCCCGAGAACATCCAAATTAGAGCAAAATTATCGTCCTTGTCTGTCCTTGTACTGTGTACACAGACGCCGCGTCCAACTGCAGTCTTGAAACTGTTCGAATACGTTGACATCGTGCCGAACATGTGCCGGCACTAGAACATCTGCCGAGGTGAGTGGCATAAATTGTGGGACGCCGGTGCTCCTCAGGCCGTCCACTCTCGCCAAAAATTGGGAATTTCGCATCAAGCATATCATAAATGAAGGACTGAACATTTAAGAGATCTTTAGAGCGCGAGAGATAGTGGGAACATTGCCTTTCTCCTGAGTTAATACTTCCGTAGAATCTACATAGTATCTTGAAGCAGTCATCTTGTGATCATAGATATATCGACCACAATTATAAACGACTAAAATTGTATTTGTGACCTGTGTCCCAACAAAGAGGTTACGGGTTAGTTTTTTCCCAACGAAGTACGTAGAGTTACCTCCGCCGCCAACCTCCGTCGTGCCATGACTGCCATTGTTTCGACGGCCATCACTTTATCAAGCCGTCCCGTTTGCCGTAATGTCGGAACGGGTCGGTTACCCGTCGCACGGGACCCGTAAAACCGGCGTGAGGGGTACGGTGCAGCCCTAGATAAATGGTTTTGTCTGTCTAAAGCATTTGAAACACTGACCGGAACCTGGAAAGATCTCTGGCTGCCAGTGAGCATGAATATATATGTTGGACACAGCACACCAATGTGCGACACATTGGAATCAGTGGCGACACACTGGAATCTGATGCGACATTCTCAGATATCAATGTGTCACTGCAGATGTGCGAGTGCGTTGCAGATGTGTGGAGTGTGGCGCGGGTAAGCACAGTGTGTCGCGCGTCGGTTGGGCAAACTGATCAGACGACCAAATATGTACAAAATATTCGCGCCTCTTTTTTCCCCCCCCCCACCACACCGTCAGCATTATTGCTCCGCCCGCCGCGCTCTCCTGAAAAGAGCGCCTTCAATGCCGCCCGAACATTTCGCCGAGGAAGCGGCGCTCATCGACAGAACCCTTGATGTGCTGAAGGAAGCACTGGCAACTTGAAGGTGTGTAATTTCTTACACAAACCACAATGCAACTCATCTGTGGTGTGACGACTGCAGCCCATAGGATCTCTGTGCCAAGCTGAATGAGACTGAGCCACGTCCCGAGAAACCGCTGTGACCGTGAACGCCATGTTGGTGCGCACTCTGCATCCGGATCCGCCGCGGGTCGAAGCCGCCGTGGCACGCTGGCCATGAGCAGGAGATGCGCGGTGAGAGCACCGCACACAGTCGTTGTCATCCCTGTGGCGGGTGTGCGAGGCAATGCTTCCCACGAGCCGCACAAGCGACTCAAGTGGACGCGGGAGATCAGCGGTAAATTGGTACTTAATGTACTGTGGGCTTGTCAAAATGCAGAAATGCACTACCCGGAGTATCTACAATACAGTACTTTAAATAAATAAAAATAGTCTTCCCTCTCTGTCTAACGCTTCAGTCGGCATCAAAGATCGACTCCGGCATAGGTGATCCGGCCAGCGGGAGGGCTGCCGGCACTTCCTACACGAGTGTGTCGCACATGTGTGCGGGTGTGTCGCAAATATCTGAATATGTTGTACGCCAGTGTGCCGCTTCTATGGCAGTGTGTCGGGGGTCTCGCCGATGGCGCGACAGAAAGGAGGCATCCAAGAAGGACATGGCTTGCCATCGATGGATTTGGGCAATACTGCCACGAACCAACGACTTGAATATCAGTGGAGAGTTACTAGTACCTCTACTCGCTGAGGTGGCAGCAAAGCGTTGGCCACCAATTCTGCATTGTCCATGGTTGGCGGTGACTCTTGGCGGTGGTGGAGAACGATTTTTTTTCTTCTAGCAAATCTTGCGACTCAGCCGGCGCGCGCATTAGCGATTGTCCTCGCATCACTACAGCATCTTGCGACGACAGCATCAGCAATATATGCCGTCCGATGCTGATCAGCCTGTTGCGCCGGATTTTATACGCATCTCGGCTGTTACAGACTCGCACAATGTCAACTGATGGCCGTGATGTTGAACCATCAATCAAAAAATGACAAATTCATTGCAGTGGATTTGTACACTAATATATATTCAACCGAAAAACGTAAGAAAATCAACCAGACACCAGATACTAAATGGGAGTTGAGATGTTGTTCAAACAACTCTCTATTACATGCTTCTTGAACGATGACATGTTCGATATTACAAAATTTTGTTTGTCCTTGTACTGTAATGAAAATGTGTTTTACTGCAAAAAACGAAAACCGGAATTAGAGTCCATTGCACCTGATCAATTTTCCACAATTCTCAAGGATTGCGACAGGATTACGATGCATGGATTGTTGCGTATTACCTTCTAGGAGCCGAGACGATACTGTAGAAGGGACTCGACGAAGTTGAGCCCCAGGTATGTACTGCTCGAATTATCTATAAATCAGTCACAAGTATATTCCCCGTTTCAACAATGTACTGTACATGTTTTCCTTTCTGCGCGCACGTGTTTCACGTGACGCGCGTACATCTGTGCCGGCGCGTCCGAGTCGGGCTGAGCAGCGGCTGCATGCTGTCCATGTAGGGGAGGAAGCTTGTGCGGAACGCGCGGCCGATGCCAAAAGCCCTGACAAGACTTATATTACATAAGTATTCTAATATAAGAACAAAGGGATTTGTGCAACGCCGTGGCAAACGCCATGGCAAATGTCGGTCATACGCCTGTCAAACGCCATGAATGCATGGCCATGGCACTTGCCCGCAGTGTCCTGAGGTGGAATCGAACCACTGACTACATGCAGTTCAAGCAAGTTTCTTATTCTCGTACGAGAAACTGTGGGCAACCACTAGCCTTTCAGGACGTTGTATTACTAGTATGGGACAAGCAAGGTACTATATTTGCAAAATTTCGAATCGTAAGGCCTTATTACGGGCATTCGTCGATGCTTGTCAGTGAGATCGCGATGTGTTTTCAAGTTGAGAGGCTGGAACGCCCGCGGCATCGTTACCACGCGTAGAACCCAATGAAAAATACACCAACAATTCTCATACATTCCATTGTCCTAAGGTAGAGTCGAACTACCAACCACTATCTATTGCATCCCACCGATTAAGACACTGCTGACTACCACTAGCCTTCCAGGACATTGTCACGGTTCTGTTGTTATATGGGAGCTCTTTACTAAACCGGCCTTGCCTGGCCTGGGCTGCATGGAAAAGAAAATAAGTGCAACGTTGTGCTGAACAAGTTCGGTTTGGGTTGACCCAAGAAAGAAAAATCATCAAATAGAGGGCCAAAATAGTGTCCTGAGTGGAATCGAACCACAGACTGCAGAGGAACGTAACGACTCGGAAGCCGGTGTCAATCTGCACGATGTGGGCTACCATTAACCCTCCTGGACGCTGTTTGATGAGAGTTGACTCTTATGAACAAAAATGTCAACAATGATACCGATGTGACTGAGGGTGTCAGCTTGTGTCGGAATTTTTTTTTGTTCTTATGGCCATATAAGGGAAAAGATCGGTTATCTTATAATTGCCTTAGAACTTTTTCCGACATGAGGCGATGGCATTTGTTTGTTTTCTTGATTATTTGGAGCGGAAGCTGTGCCTTGGGCGGCTGGGGCGGGATTTATGAACTTATGTACGCAGTGAAGACTATTACCGAAATGCTCAAATTCGCTACAACGTTAGAGCCGGCCCAGTTGATTCGCTCGAGAGATGATTGCTAGTCATGGGAGCGCTCTTCATGGTGCACACGCGCTGGTCAAGCCCTACGACGAGTACGTGTGAGTGCACCAGCTGAGCGACGAGCAACAGGCCTCTAGGCTGCAATGCTGTGCATGGTGGAAAGCGCTTGTATGCAGGGTGCAATGCCCACACGGCGTGACGACTTGGAAATGCGCGCATGGTCGTGTCCGCGTTTTAAAATTCATGAGTTTTGGTGTCGGGGTACCGTCGGTACCTTATAAGGCTCGTTGCAGTATCTAGCTCCCCGTGTACGATGAGGCCGTCCGGGAGATCGGCACGAAAGAGTAATAAAGCACGTGACGGTATGTTCTCTCAGATTTGCATCTCGAATATCTGACGAACTTGGCGAGCAGACGTAGATAATACCCGCGGCAAAGTAAGCAGATGAAATTGGGAGTCAAGAATGTGGTGCCGGTGACGGGCATACCGGGGCTACTGTATCCGGATTGTTCTGTCCGGTACCGCAAACCCGCGCCGCTAGGCGTGGCTACGCCAGCTTGGATCAGCGCTGTCAGCCCTACACACAAGGTTTATGGTTTAAGTCAGACCGTGACTACCCTTCAGTGTCTTGGACCAGAATTCACAGATTCAAAGTTGCGGCTTGCCATGTTAGATTTGAGATGAAGGGGAATTGATAAAAGAGCACACATGTATTCGAGATAATTACAAGCTTATATACTGTAGAGTGGAATATAACTGCATGGGGAGTAAGGACGAGCTGAGAGCATACCAAGAGATTTTACTAAGGAATAGATTACATATCTGTGCGTGCTGTGTAGACGAGCATGCGCTCGGTAAGTCGGTACATCGGTGATGCGTTGGTCCGATGCCGAGACGTCGGTCATGCCGGCTTGATTCTAACATGCCACACTGAAAGTTTTCTAACTCGTGGGTTCTGTTCCAAAGATACATGTTGGAAAGAGCAACTGCGTAGGTTATTCATGTTACGGAATAACTCTTTCGGCATCCGGACAAGGCACAGGTATGGGCCAGATTTGTAAATATGCTCATGTACGATTCGCACGATGATGTAGGATCATGTGCGTGATCATTGGCGGTTGCGGAAAAAGACCAAAGGCCCCCTGCGAACACGGTACAGTCTGCTTCAATTTTCTTCAAGTTCTCGGAGTTGTTCTTTGGACAGTTGGTAATGGTAACTTGAAGATTGATCTATAGGCGGCCTTGACATAGATATGCCTATCTACGAATTTGGCACGACGATGCGGGGCATGCATGATTAGCGGTTACGTACAGACAGTCCGAGACGTCGACTGTGACGGCAAATACCGTGGTCTCCCGCAGAATCCTTCAATTATTCTTCAAAGTCCTCTTTTTTTACTCTGGGTTGGATTATTAAGTAATCGGAAAGAGATTCAAGATAAGATATTACCACGATACAGACTTGAACAAGGTGGGCCCTGATAGCAAACCCAAGCTTGATGGTTGAAAAGTGGCTGCGCCGTCATTGACGGGGTTGATCGGCATGTTGCATGTTGCGGACATGGCAATGAAGGAAGGTGAGAATTGCAGACCACCGATACTTTCAGTGTGGATGTATGGTGTAGTCGAGGACAAGCCAACCCACGCCACAAGCCACTTCATGCCCGCCCCAGCCAATTCAAACTCCGCTAAACTGCGCAAATCATTTAGCCAAGCCATATGGCTACTAACTCTGGAGGACTTCTCGCTGGCATAGCAATCTCTTGTGAGAAAACGTTGCAGCGAATTCCAGCCGGCGGCGCCACTCCTTGAGCTCCAATTAGTATCCAGTGTTCACACGAGCTTCGCGAAGGCACTGGCAAGCGAACTTCAAACCAAGACCCCGTCACGCGGGTTATGGTTACTGAACTTTTTTTGGTTCATAAGAGTCACTCGTTCACCTCAAACGCCGTCCAGAAAGCCTGAGGCTAGTGGTAGCCCGCAGTGCACAACGGCTTTCGAGTCGTTACGTTTGAGCTACAGTCTGTGGTTCGATTCCACGCAGGACACTCACAGGTTTATTTTTTGTCAACCCAAACGAAACTTCGCAGTGTCAGGGCAACCGGTTTAGCACCGCCGCACTTATTTTCTTTTTCATGCAGGCCGGGTGTGCCATCCTGGCCCATCCATAAGCCGGTTTAGTAAAGACCTGCCATACGAAACGACGTCCTGGAGGGCTAGTAGTAGTCAGCAGTGTCTTACTAGCCTGGATGCAATAGATATTCACTGTGGTTGGTAGTTCGACTCTACCCCAGGACATTGTGTCTGTGGCCGAGTTGCTTTTTTCCAGAGGTGACTGGTCATATTTTTCTTGGCGGGCTACCTTTAATTTGGCAACAGTGCCGCGGGAATCCCAGCTTTCTTAACACAGTTTCAAGTTCTGCGAAAGCAAATAGGGAAGCTATTACGAGTTGCACGTTCCCGTACTGCGACGTCCTGAAATGCTAGTGGTAACCCGCAGTGCACAGCGGCTTCCGAGTCACGTTCGAGCTGCATTCTGTGGTTCAATTCCACTCAGGACGCTGTGCGTAATGAGAATAATTTCCCCGGGCCAGCATAAATCAAACTTCGCGGTGTCATGGCAACCAGTTTAGCACAAGGCCACACTTATTTTCCTTTCCTTACAGCTCATCAGCCGTGCCATCATGAGCCGCGTTAGTAAAGAGCCGCCATATAACAACGGAACAAGTCCTGGAGGGCTAGTGGTAGCCAGCAGTGTCTTACTCGCCTGGATGCAACAGATATTCACTGTGGTTGGTAGTTCAACTCTACCTCAGGACACTAACCGGTCGAGGGTTTTATTTTTGATTGGCCATGAGTTCTATTCGTGGCAACGTCAATGCTGCTGCGGGCATCCAGCCTCTCAACTTGAAGACGCATCACACATCTACGAAAGCAAAACAGTGCGCTTTGATGGCAATGCCCTCCGGCGCGCCCCTCATAGTAAGGCCCTGCCGTTTGGATTTCGCATAGTATATAGTGCATATCGCCCATAATACGACGTCCTGGGAGGCTAGTGGTCACCCGCAGTATCTTGTATGAAGTTTACGTAAGAACTTTGCTTGAGCTGCAGTCGGTGGTTCGACTCCACTTCAGGACCTGCAGTCGGCAATACAGACCTTTTTTCTTCTTTGAAACTGAGGCCCAAGCTCAGCTCGGCTGTTCATGATGGACGACACCTTCACTCGGAGCTACACGAAATAGGCAATACGTAGGCAATATGTACGTGCGGGGTTGTGAGAAATACTGGCAGCTCAGGCAGCATGCCTGAGCCTTTGAATCGGTAGCTCTGGCACTGCAAAGTTTTGGTCTGGGCTAACCCAAGTGACTGAACTAAAAAGTAGGCGAAAGACGTTCTGTGTTAGTGTCCTGAGTGGAATTGAACCACGGACCGCAGTTCAAACGTACATAATTGATGACATCATACAAGGCATTGCGGGCTACCACTGGCCTTTCAGGACGGCTTATGTGAACGATCAACTCTAAATGAACTAGGAAAAGTTAATCCTGAAGGGTCTCACAGCTTGAAGTCTTCGTTCGTTTTCGTGGATATCTGGAGCTGGAGTTGTGCCTTAAGTGGAGACTTGAACTGAATATCGAGATGTGCGACTTCGTGGTGACAGGATAACGCTGCCGCCCACCGTCGCGAGAGATTACCACTCACGGAAACCCTCCTGCACACTGTACACGTATGTGGCGCGCCTAGCATACTGGGCGTGACTACTGGCCCACCGACTTTGAGGACAAGCCAACCCACGCCACAAGCCACGTCATGACATGCCCGCCCCAGCCAATTCATGGCATGCCCGCCCCAGCCAATTCATGGGGGACTTCTCATGGCAATCGCTTGTGAGAGGTCACGGCGCCAAAACGTTGCAGCGAATTCAGTGCACTTATGTACTAAATCCCCCAGGCGGCGCCACTTACAACACAAGTTGAGCTCCAAATAGTGTCCACGCGCACGAACTTCGCGAAGGCAAGCGAATGCTTCAAATCAAGACCCCGTCACGCGAATTATGGTTAACTTTTCTTGAGTCATAAGACGTCCAGAAAGGCCAGTGTAGCCCGCAGTGCACAACGGCGTCCGAGTCGTTACGTTTGAGCTGCAGCCTGTGGTTCGATTCCACTCAGGACACTCCGACACTCAGACTATTCCAAGGTCTTTTTTGTCAACCCAAACGGAACTTCGCAGTGTCAGGGCAACCGGTTCAGCCTCATTTTATTCTTAATGCAGTTCAGCCCAGGCCGGGTGTGCCATCCATTTAGTAAAGAGCTGCGATATAACAAGGAACGACGTCCTGGAGGGCTAGTAGTAGTCAGCAGTGTCTTACTGGCCTGGATGCGATAGATATTTACTGTGGTTGGTATTTCGACTCTACCCCAGGCCCTGACTGGTTATATTTTTTTTGGCGGTCTACCTTTAATTTGGCAACAATGCCGCGGGAATTCCAGCTTCTGAACACAGTTCCAAGCATCTGCGAAAGCAAATAGGGTAACTACTACGAGTTGCTCCTACAACGTCTTGAAAGGCTAGTGGTAGCCCGCAGTGCACAATGGTCACGTTCGAGCTGCATTCTGTGGTTCAATTCCACTTAGGACGCTGTGTGTAATGAGAATAAATTTTCCCTACCTGATTTTTTTCTTGGGTCAGCATAAATCAAACTTCGCGGTGTCGGGGCAACCGCTTTAGTATTAGCACAACGCCGCACTTATTTTCCTTACAGCTCAGCCGTGCCATCATGTTAGTAAAGAGCCGCCATATAACAATGGAACGATGTCCTGGAGGGCTAGTGGTACTGGCCTGGATGCAACAGATATTCACTGTGGTTGGTAGTTCAACTCTACCTCAGGACACTGACCCGGATCGCAAGCTGTTTTATTTTTGATTGGCCATGGGCTCTACTCGTGGCAACGTCAATGCTGCTACGGGCGTCCAGCCTCTCAACTTGAAGACGCATCACACATCTACGAAAGCAAAACAGTGCGCTTTGATGGGAATGCCCTCCGGCGCGCCCTCAGGCCCTGCCGTTTGGATTTCGCATAGTATATAGTGCATATCGAGTTGCTATCCCATAATACGACGTCCTGGGAGGCTAGTGGTCACCCGCAGTATCTTGTATGAAGTTTACGTAAAAACTTTGCTTGAACCGCAGTCGGTGGTTCAATTCCACTTCAGGACCTGTACATGTGTTGCTCAAAATATCAAGATATTTTTTCTTTGTAACTTGAGCCAGCTGCCTCAGCTCGGCTGATCATGATGTATGACACCTGCACTGACTCGGAGCTACATGAAATAGGCAGCAAATGCGGGGTTGTGAAAAATACTGGCAGCTCATGCAGCATGCCTCTGAATCGGTAGCTCTGACACCGTAAAATTTTGGTCTGGGCTAACCCAAGTACAAAAAGTTGGACTGAACTAAAAAGTAGGCGAAAGACCACCGTCGTTTTGTGCCAGTGTCCTGAGTGGAATCGAACCACGGACCGCAGTTCAAACGTAATTGAATATGCGGGCTACCACTAGCCTTTCAGGACGGCTTACTAATGTGAACGAGCAACCCTAAATGAACTAAGAAAAGTTAATCCTGGCGGGTCTCAGAGCTTGAAACCTTTGTTCGTTTTCGTGAATATCTGGAGCTGGAGTTGTGCCTTAAGCGGCGAACTGAATATCGAGACGTGCGACTTCGCGGTGACGGGATAACGCTGCCCACCGTGACCCCTCGCGAGAGATTACCACTCGTGGTCTCGGCTTGGTGCACAAGGAATGACAGACCGATGATCGATCTTGGCGTTGCAAGATGAGCGGGCTCCAGGATGCAAAACGATAGATAGCAGACTTGAGAGTGCCAACCGATAGACAGGCTCGTGGATGCAACTCAGACATAACGCCAGCTGCAGAGAACGAGCATGATAAATATACCAGACCCGACTGGATCGGTGAGACATGACAGACTAGGATGTATTTTAAAAATAGCTGACAGAATGCGAGACGGATACCGACATTTTATTGTTTCTGGCTCCGCGAGCAATACGGACCTGCACGCAAGTAACATGAGGGAGCAGCTTATAAGTTGTCGTCAATTTGGAAGGCGCGACGGTAACAGCGAGAGAAGGCGCCGGAGAAGGCACTGCGATGCGCCATGACTCGAAGAGCCTGGAGTGGGACCATGAGAGACGGAGAGTAAAAGCGCCGGCGAGGCATCCTACGCTAACAACGGTGAGAAACACGCGCCCCACGCCGCCAGCCTACCGTCTTCTTCATTCAATAATTCTCCTTGGGTCTGGTTTGAAACGCTTTTGGTAGCCTCGGCGAGGAGACCAAGGCGCGCTTCCATGATTTCCACTGCGCGGCTTTGTGGCGCTCCGAATCGCCGCCGAATTCTCGGACACCAATGACCAGGTGCCACAAAGACAAAGCAACCGATTGCCGCTGTGCACAGCGGCCTTAAGGCAGCTAGATAGGTTGCGTGCGAAGATATGGCAGCACGTGGAGGCTCGTGACTGTGACCGTTATTCCTTCCGTGGCGCCTGTCGAAAGCCACAAGCTCAACCATTGCAGCGGCCTCGCTTCTAGGTTCTCGTTGCGAAATTTTCGATGTGCTATCTCGGCACCCAGTGATGGTCTTACCGTTTGGCTCCCTCGTCTACTACATAGCAACTTATCAACTTTTTCCAGTGCAGAGTCACCGGACTTGGCAGAGACAAACCTAGACTCGCCGCGGATATACTGTCACTAGACCTGATTCGTTCCTGCTTTCCGATTCACGCAGATACGTTGTTTCACTTGTTGTCTCTTCCCTCTATCGCCAAGAGTCGGCGGCTTTGTTCGCTTACGAGTGGAGCATGTCCGAAGAGGAGCACGACAGCAAAAATTTAAATGATTCACAGCCGAATGGCAGCGGCCATCCTGTCTCGTGGGACATCGATAACAATCGTAACAATCGCCGCGATGGTGAGCCATGGGCTGTTAATTTGCCAGAGGTCTGCGGGAGAAGAACAAGCGTGCATGCGCATGTGCAATCTGCACACCGTGCTAGACATCTCTACTCATGAGGCTTCTGTGAACCCACAGATCTCTTTCCTGGGTCGCGCGGCATTCCCATGCTCCCGTACAACAGCACCACCCTTCTTGGAGTCATTGGGCCCTGCGCCGGGACCAGCCCATGCAGCCGCACTCGACAATCGCGCTTGTCCTGCGCTGCTGAGAACTTTCTCGCCGCTTCGCTTTGCCCCCGCATGCGGCGCTCCCTGTCAGCGCCACCAAACTCCCACCTGCCTGCGTGCGATTTTTCCCACTCCTTCGTCTCGCCCTCTGATCACCGCCCACCGCACATAGATATCGCGCAGCGAAGCAACGTGTTACCGGCACAAGTCGACCAGTTCTAGATCGCAAACACACATTCCAGTCGGACGAACTCAGGCTTCGTCACTTCTTGATTCCCTTGGGGCGTATCGCTTATTCTGGGACTACCATGGCTGGAGCACGTCAGTCTCTTGTCCCCCCCCTTTAGAAAATTTGCCAGTGCCGACGGCTGTGTACAATGTTGAGCCGCGAGCCAAGTATACATACTGTTCGGCTTGACCTCGCTACGTAAAGTTCAGATGAAAGTTGTCTGCCACAGAAGAACTTCTATTTCTATGTGAGCGCATAGGTGACTCTCGATGAGCGTCATTCATTGAGAACATCGTTAGACTTACAACATACGTACCTGACACGCACGGAATATGGTCCATGAAGACGCACGCCTGGCAATGCTTTCGCGCGCGGGGCTTCTGGGAACCGGACCAAGAAAACGGCGGAAGTTCCGGGCTCGCCGGAACCTGCTGTCGAAATAACGCGGTTCCCCAATGGCCAGTCCCGCCGCATGGCCACTGCACCGCCCAATCTGGTTCGTGGAAAGGCGCTCCCAGCCACGTCTCCGCGGCACGGAAGAAGCGAGTGTTGATATTGCGGACACGGAATGAGTCGGAATCCACCATCGCGCAACGCTAGATCCAGTTTTACTCCCCGTACTCTCCAGAATCCAGTGGTTCTTCTCGAGGTAATGGCGAATGATTAAGTGGCTGGGTATTGGGGTGAAGCCGGATCATCGGGTTGTACCCGATTAGCTGATTATGAGGGTGGAGAGACCTTGACAAGCAAGGTAACGACCGTTGTGACGGAACGCTCAATCGATAGCCTCGTTTTGGGGCTAGGTACGGGCATGTTCGAGTTCAAGCGAGGTCGGTTCAAGTTGGCGCACGGCAAATCAGTTCAGTTCAGTTACAGCACCGAGTATTCGGAACGCAACTTCCGGGCGCACCTGAGGCTTGAGGCACGGTTGTGAAACAACTTTGAAGGCAATATTCATGAGTCATGGGCATGATGCATGACGTCCCCCATATGATGCGCACTGCGAATGCCCCCTGCCGGGATCCGAGCATGCTGGGTTGAAATGTGGCCGGAACGCCGAGTCAGGGCACA